AAAAAAATGAAATTTCAGTTAGTGCCTGTGTTTGTGCGTCCGTTTAAGGAGAATCGCAGACCGGGATGTAAGGATTTATAACACTTTGGGCAAATTAAAGATTTCTTAATTTGACAATCGATAGCTTGTGCGTGGTGCCTGTGTGCTGATCCTGAACGCTATTTTCGTATAAAAGATTTTGTTTGTACCTACCATTGAGTTAGAAAACTAATGCATATTTGATAAACATTTTCCGGTGCAACCTTTGGTCGAAATCACAGTCAATGAAGCGTTGTGAGCACAAAAGTAAATTTCGAGAGCTGTTCTTGAGATATATTTACAAATGTAATATTACCATTTTGCTCGAAGTACCGGTTCGTTTGGAAAACTAAGAAACATAAACTAGGTACCTACAACCTCGCCTACAACATGATAAATGACATGTCTTACCGATGAAAGGAAATGCCCTGTTTCTTCCCTTTATGAGAAATTTTGCATGATACGCAGCTAATCATTCTCAATTCACAAAATTGCGTGTGATAAAAACACTATGCGGCAGTTAGTTATTTATATAAACCAGAGCACAAACCGATCCGAAATTATTAGGTACTTTAAAATGGCAAATTTAATAAAATTTGAATTTGGTGGAAAACTGACAGTGACAGGACCCGCGTTTTCATATGTCAAATAATGTCGGCCAAAATGTACCTTCACGGGAATCTATCCACGCGAGTGGCCTCTATCTGTGGCAATTTCCGTCTACAAAAATTCTTACCCCCTCTACCATTATATTCCCTCCATTAGTTTTCTAACTCAATGGTACCTACCTACGTATGGTTATTTGAGCTGATTGGACAGGGTGGTTTCGTTAATAATTTAGGGAATAATAGAAAAAGTAACTGATCTGTAATTAACCACTTTAACACCATTTTTTCATCCAAAATGAGTCAGGCCAACTTCACACCTTGTATAATAAATTAAGCTGCAATTTAAAAAACAATGTTACAAATGGCTAAGAAGGAAAAAATTTAAAGCACTTTTTTTAAATTGTTTTTGGTGCAAACCCTATCCACCCCTGCCCTCGTTTAGAGCTTGTTCGCAAACTAATATTTGTTGTAATAATCCCGCTTATTTTCTTCTTACCTAATACTGTCAAGTAGGTACGGGGGTCAGTGTTCCTTATACGTTTTATTACATTGCGCTGCTGGTTCAAAACAATGTTTAAATCGTTACATTGACAAAAATAATGTGGATTGTCTTGACCCATAAAATATTACTTGACAATTCACCTATCGACTCGGAGATTAATTTTCCACAGGATGAATAATTATACATGCGTAAATGTGTTTAAAAAATAACGTTCTCCTTATAACATCTTCATATTTCAATGTAGTACATAAGAAATACAATTTACACTTAATGAAAGTTGACAATTTTGACAAAAGCTTACAATTTTAACGACAACCAAACATAATTTTCTGGCGGCACGCTTAAATTGATTAAATATTGCGCGCATTCTGAGGTGTTCCTATCGGGCCCGTAATGCATTGCCGAAACGCGACTTCCATATACGGAAAACCATTTCAAACCTGTAGACTCGTGAATTATCATATTATGCGAAAAAAATGGGACACACTTTCACGACGGATTCCAATTTCTCAAACATCTTTTTAAAACATCCGCGATGTTAACTTACCTCCGTAAATAATAATTAATCAAGAATTTTGGCTGTCGTTAAATTTGCACAGATTTATGTAGGAGATTGTGGCATGACAGAAGCTAATCATTATGCTATTCTTAAGTGACACTGCTTCGTAGATAATCTGAAAATAGAGTGGCGCATTCTAAATTAAAAGGATAATAATGCCTCAGTTAATTAGTATTTATTCGTAGTTACCCTCAAACTTACCATCGGTGGCGGTCCCGTTTTGATGGTCGGGTGCGAATGCAACTTTTGCACATAAAGCAAAAAACCACTCTGTACAAGAGATCATCGCGATCCGGCTCGAAGTACCATGAACGAAGGATGAATTTACCATTGCATGGTTTTGAGGTTTGGATACCACCCTTGTTCACTGTGACACAATGGTTGTGGTGCTTTATTCTTAATTGGATCTTTATATGCAAATTTTCAATATGACATATTATTATGTTTGTGACCCTGTTCCTTTTACGGAATTGTTGATTGCATTATTTGGTTGTGATGTGTGTAATTGACATAATTGACAATTTCTGTTGACTAATTCTGAAATAATGATCAGTATGATTAGTGTGATTACGAAATGTGTTCTACATAATTTTACGTAATAAGTATATTTGCTAATTCTAACTTCAAACTTTAGATATTGTAAATTGGAGAAGTTTTTATGCTTTGCCATTAAACAAATAGATTAAATGAAACTAAATTCATATAACAGAGTCCGCAATCCATGCAACCATCGGAGACATTGAAAATGACAACCGTATAACGTTATATCTAATATGTAAAAGACAAAAAATTCTTATTCAATCACTTTTCTTAATAATAAGCCTAGTTCTTATAGACGCGATTATCCATTATCGCAATTCTTATCATCATTTGTTTCGCACAAACGTTCGTTGAAAATATGTTAACTTTTTGCGAATATTTGCATTTCTATGAAAACTAGGCTATAAGCGTCTAGTAGGGGAGCTAGCACGAAATCCACTGAACGAGAATGATCAAAATTTTAACCGATGGAGTTCCATTTTGCCCTATCAGAGTATGCTAAAATCGATCGTCTGCCGCCTCAGGTCATATGACTTAAGGCGCTGCGGGTACTTCTTGCGGTACCAATTCTGAAAGGTTGTTTTTCGAGAAAATAAGTTATACACCAAATGAAAACGTTGATAATAGCTCTTAAAAAAATATTTAAAAAAATCACGCACATTTGATAACTCCGTAAAAAAACAATTCTTAGTCGGTTTTTCACGAACTTTCTACGGATATAACTAGGTTACCGTTGGATGAATGAAGCTGATTTTTTTTACAGACTGATGATAGGTACTACTAATGACTTAACGGTGTTTGGTTTTTAAATTTTTTGTCTAATTATAATATTATCTTATTATCTCAACACTATAAGATATCTTATAATTAGAGAAAAAATTTAAAAAAGAAACACTCTCATAGTCATTGGCTGTACCTATCATTAGTCTGTAAAAAAAATCAGCTTCATTCTTCCAACGGTAACCTAGTTATATCCGTAGAAAGTTCGTGAAAAACCGACTAAGAATTGTTTTTTTACGGAGTTATCAAATGTGCGCGATTTTTTTAAATATTTTTTTAAGAGCTATTATCAACGTTTTCATTTGGTGTATAACTTATTTTCTCGAAAAACAACCTTTCAGAATTGGTACCCAAGAAGTACCCGCAGCGCCTTAAGTCATATGACCTGAGGCGGCAGACGATCGATTTTAGCATACTCTGATAGGGCAAAATGGAACTCCATCGGTTAAAATTTTGATCATTCTCGTTCAGTGGATTTCGTGCTAGCTCCCCTACTAGTCGAACATGTTCGTAATATTGTCAAAGGAGATGTGCCAGAATTTTAGATTGGAACAAAACAATTAAGCGCTACTAAGTAGGTATCATATCGACAGAAAACCGGGATCTTTCGTTCACCTTCCGATCACGGTCGAGTACGGTAGAATCGTCACTTGATGCGACACCGTTGTTTTTTCACAGCTTGAACGAAACTCATAACTTTGTACTCATATACAGAAACACTCACGAAAGCATATACATTTCCAATGTTAGAACATATACACTATGCAGGGTGTCCATTTTTTGACTGCCACTATGGGAATCTCGATTATCTTAAGAGATAGAAAGTTGCGAATATTCGTGCTGAATCGGACAAAAAAATTAAAATATCTTGGATACTTTTAAAAATATCGCAAAAAACGAAAGTTCTTTTCTAATTTTTTCATAATAAACTAATCGTACTAGACATTTCTAACGGAAACATTATTCAGACACTTTTTATGAAGAATTCGAATATGGCATCCCTTTTTAATACATTTCAAGATGGCAGAGAAGCACTGACATTTTCTTATGGACGCCATTTTGGATTTTAAAATGCAATTTTTTCTTTTTTTGGGAAGAGTGCTTTGGAAAAACAAAACGTTCTTTTGTCGTAAACAAAAATTTGACAGTTTGATCCTACTTCAAATAGCGCCATTTACATTGGTGCCAGTTTTATTGCGAAAATGCATTTTTCAAGTTCAATCAAATATCCAGAAACGTCAGGTAAACTGGGTGTAATGGCATTCGCCTTATGGCGAAAGTATTCGTATACGCCAATATACCTACCCAATGTACCTTATGTTTAATATAACACAACACTAACACATACCTTATTTGGGATATTGGGCCTATTGCATAACCTACCCACTTCTTTGGGGTTGAGTCCCAAAAGAAACACATTGGACCGTACGTTTATTTGGAAAAAGTGCTTGTCTTGATCCCCTCTATCACCCAATTTATTTTACATGCGGTCGTGTAACACCCTGTATACCACATAAACTAATAAGAGGTGTATTTTTTACCTCCAAATGTATCCAGTTTATGGTCGATGCAATGTAAGAGAAACGCAAGATTTAGGTTTATTCTATTACACTTCTACTAACTCTTACTAGCATACGAAGTTTTCTTACGGAAATCATCATCGCGCACATTTATTTGAAAACGCAGGCAAAGTGAAATAGATAAGAAAAAATGTATAGAAAGACCATGGGGTTTTGCAACAAATTCTGCGACGGCATGTGTCTGTGTAAACTTGGTTACGTGTTATAAGCATTGAAAGGTATTGCAGACGCCATCACGGAATCGGAACTTAATATTCAGAATGTCGTAAACGACTGAAGATAGACAATTTATTTTCTACATATTTTTTCGTGCCTATTTCGGTTTGTCTGAGTTTTGAATTAAATGCGCGCGATGGTAATGTTCGTAAGAAATCTGTTGGCGATAAATGTTGAAAAAGAAAACTTTCACTTCATTTAAAATTAGTATTTTATTGTCTATAGTGGCGTTTATTCATCTATAGACTAATGATGAACTATACAAATTTCCTTGACATTTAGCTATAATTTCACATATTAAGTCGACAGTTCTGCCATAAAAGAAATAAACCAAAGCTCTATAAAATTAACAAAAAGTACCAACAATACTAAACAATGCTCAACAATAAATGCAACAAAAACAAAATAATACGTACAACTAAATTTAGATCTATTTCACCTTTCCGAGAAAATAACACAAGAACACCATCCAGGTGTACACTTTGAGAACGGAAAAATAAGTTTCGCATCTTTAATGATAATTTTCACGTTTTTAATAACATTAAACATTCAATTTTCCATAAGACTTAAATAAAAAAAAAACCATTGCAACAGAATGCATAACACACATGGCATTTTTCTTACATCGGTATTGGTCGAGAACATTTACTATTACGTTAATTATTATACACAATGGACTAGTTTTAATAATCTTCCTTTGGTCAGCGCGTAAATCTACTATACAGCAATAAGAAAATATACACAATAATTTATACTCTGCGTTGTATACTACTTAACTTTTCTAAATTATAAACAAGAAATATGAGGTTTAGTTTTTCATTTTGGTCTCATCCAGAAACGCACACTTTCATAAACTAACACCCAAAAGCGCGGTATAGGTTAATGGAATAATATTCACAGATACAACAAGGGAAGTAGACAAAAACAGCAGTAACAAATTATTCAATCCGTTAGCGAGATTTGAACAACAATATCACTTTGCCACTTCGCAATGTGTTAAAAGTATACTACAATATATAAGTAAATGACTAGGCTAGATCTAGAGAATTTATGTTAAATTTGAAAGATCCGTCGTCCGCCATGGAGCGGTTTTCCATAGCTAAAGATCTAGTTTCCCCTTGGATTTCCTCCAATTCGCTCTCTTCCAAAAGGGGAACACCTGGTGGAAGTTTAAGTTGGTATCGCGAATAGTGAATGTGGTACTTACCTTCGGTGTTATGAACGGAACTAGTGTCGAAGGAGGCTAAGCTGCCACAATGCGCTCTGCAGGACGCTGATTGTGAACCACTATGGGAGGACGCCGTGTCTAACGTTACGGCCGTGGAACCTTCAGATGCGATCATGGTATCGGTTGATCCCATCGGATCACCCCCTGATCGCGTGCTGTTAGAATGGGATACGCTGAAATGTATGAAAAAAAGTTAGGTGACACTGTCATTTTAAGATTCCCTTCTTATTAAAAGTTTCTACCGTCCGGATAGCTACCAAAAATCTGTCATCAAATTCAACAAGTCAGATTTTGTCATCAACTTCAGTGTTATAAAGAACAAATGAAGTTTCCAGGCGCTTATTTAAAAAAAAGTGTAAATAATTTTAAGACTTCTTATTTTAATTGTAGGCCGTCTGCGTGCGGGGTAATTTTGTAAGCTCTATTAATTGTGTGTTTATTCGAGTTCATTGTGCGACCCGGATAGCTTTTCATGTCATATTCCGAGAGCCGGGCGTCTACGAGGAAAGTAATTACAATTCTAAATTTAAAGATTGATTTGTTTTGAGCTAGCTGGACAAGTGTTTTGTGGGTGTCGTAGTGGCCGCATGCCATTGCACACAGCAATACGTACAGCAGTCATATTAGTGTTTTATTTTAAGTGTTCTCAGAGTGTTAGTTTGTTAATAAATAAAAAATTTTAAATTGCCTTTACAATGTGGTAAAACTGACCGGTGTTGCAATTTAAAAATTTTGAGGTCACCCCCTAAAAAACCATGTAAAGTGTATTTTTATGACGCTTTATTGATCCCAACATTTTCTTCATTCGTTTGAATCTTTTATCTCTGTCCCGGTATTTTTGGGAACCCCAAGCATCAATTTCCTAATTATTATTAATTTATTTCTGGTTAAAATTACAAATAGAGCGCATTTTTAAACCGAAATAGCTTAGTAAATAATTGGGTTTACAACCACCCTTTGAGGGCACCCTTGTCTGACATTTTGTTTTTGATCTATTCGTTTCGACCTCACCAATAGATATGCTTCATTCAACCTCATTCATTTTGCCATTGTGAGTACTCTCCTCCAACGCACCGTTTTTAAGATATTCGTTTTTTTGACATCACCAATGGATATATTTCTTCCAGACGTCCCAATCGCCCCTGCGAGTACCCTCCCCCGACACTCCGCCCAGAAACGGTTAAGTGAAATTTAAAATCGGTAAGATTAATGGAATCAAAAGATAAATAAATAAATTAATTCATTAATTAATTACAAACATAACAGATTTCGCTTTACAAAAAAAAGGTGAAATTGCGGTAGTCTGCAAAACGGTCTCGAGCGCCACCAGAAGACTAACGATCTTGCTCCTGGTCAAGGACGGTCGATTACTGTATCGGAAATTATGAAGTTACAGGTAATTAGATAAAGAAACGGAATTCTCCAGGGATCGACAGGCAGTCACTGGCAAAAGATCTCAAACAAAATTACGGCACATGGAAACTATAACAATTTCCCAAAACGGGAACAGAAAACAATTATTAACGGTTGAAAAGAACGGTGCGGTAAAAATCAAATGCAAACTCAACTCAATAAAATTGAAAATACGATTGCCTCTAAATAACGGCCTCGCCTTTTAAAATTTCGGCAATATCTGGAAGGGAACGCTGAAACATCTTGATAATTTAGCGCGCTTCCAATGACACTAAACACAATCTAATCAAATGTCGTTTGCTGCAACCCATCTAATTAGCAACCTGTAATTATGCTTACTTAATTAGCCAGGCTAAAATTTCTGAACCGAGAAATGTCTGCGTTATGTACGTACTGCGACGACCTTGCAAGTTTAATCCTGGTTTTAAATTATCATTGCGAAATTAATTTGTCCGATAACGCTTTTCAAAACATCAACATAAAAGTTGTAGCTTACATATGCGTTATGATACTAAGTACAAGAAATATCATTAAATGCCTCACACAATTTCTAAATTTACAATAAAATGACAATTTAACAAGTTTTCCAATTCTGTGTTTATTTGAAAGAAATTCTCCCAATTGAAACATTTTACATAGAGGATGTCCCGGCTGCTATTTCCAATGCTTAAACCGAAATTATATTAACAACACGTAAATTTTTCACCACAGGATAGGTCGCTCTCCGGCAGTGTCCTAGAGAAACGACACTCCTCTGCAGTTTATACAACAGTATGTACGTATGTACGTTGGCAATTTTCCGAGATAATGGCTTGCCGGATTGTTTTCAAATCTTGGATAAGGATGTACCTATATTAGGCATACGGAAATGAAAAATAACGGGTCGGACTTTAAAAAAAAATTTTTGGAGCGCCGCAATGGCATCGAACTTTTTTGTTTCAAATAGCAACCTAGAATTGTTATCAAGTTATTCGAAAGACCTTATTTTTCTGTATACAACCTACAAAAATTATGCATGTTTTAAACAAAACGGAGAAACTACATTTCTTTCGGCAAAATGGCTATTTTGATTTCGTTTCGTACATGTTGGCGATGTTAGGTAAAAAGGGTATAAAACTGACACTTTTTAATCTATGAGTTTTTAGCGCCGTGACAAGTAGTTCACATTTTTTTATGAACGAGCGAAGTTACACATTCAAACACGAGTATTAACAGGGGACAATGTTGCTTAACTGTACACAATAAATAAATTATAAGTAATAAACATGAACAAAAGTTTTAAAAAAGCGCATAAAGTCCCAACAAGGTGGGGCCCGTTCCGAGGTATTTACGAGAGAACATAAAGAATTATCGATTATCGCGAACTAATTAGAATTATTAATTTAATAAGGGGTAAATTATTTGTCCGTGTATAACAAAGACCATGGAATTCGGAATAGCTGGTTATATACGATACTTCTGAAGGAGACATTTTCGCCTAGAAAAGAAATCAGTTTCAGGACTTTTCGTAACCAGTTTCGTAATGTTATATTTGTCATTTAATTAATTTATATACAGGGTGTCCCATTTATCTTAAGACGGTCGATTATTGCGGAAACTAACGGAGATATAAAAAAATGATTGATATAAAATATTCGTCATACAGAGGGCCCATTTAATGATGCTTTGCATATTTTCACAATACTTTCCCTCAAGGGCCAAGTGTAGGGCAACTTAAATTCAATTCAAATAGAAACCTATACTTTTTATTATTATTCTACATCGGAAAGTAACAAACTTCCGTGGGAAACGTTTTCCCCTACATTTACCATGTTTTGAAAACAGTCTCAAGAGCGCTATTTTGGTTTGAGCTAGAAAGCTGTTCTGTCTCAATTTGGCATATTTTTTTTTAAATTTCATTATCTTCTCGATAGATTGTACAGACAATTTCCCTTCCCCTAAGTTTTAAAAGAAAATACCGCTCCAATATTTTCAAAAATACGTTACGTTATCCAGTCCTTATGAATAATCGCCACATTAATTAATTTGTCCATAATATAAGTGCAATCTTAGATAGGTCTACTGATGAATTTGAACAAAAGTACATTCGCATCAATTAAATGAAATTAATAAACATTACATACAGATCTGTCATAATCGATGATCACATATTTACAAAACTAATCGATCAATTAAAAACTAAGCAACCTATTGCCTTAGAATGTAACTTTTGTGTCATTGCACACTCAAGTATAATCATTTTTCAATGAAGTTGTAACTGTGAAACACGAAGTCGTTTTTAAATAATTTGATCATCTTATCTTCATCAACACTGACAATCACCCGTGAAACCAACTAATCAGAATCGTGTAGTAAGTAACCATGAATAAGAATTAACATGAAAGCTCAATTGAATCAAGCTGATTTATGCAGAAAGCAGTTACTAGTGACACGGGTACAACACCAATTTGGGCAAAAAAAGTTTGTGGAAATGTGTCGAATAACTAATCTTTTATTAATTTGGAAAACAAGGCTGATTGTAGTTGAAACCTTGTCGACGGAGCAATTGAATATTCAATTTGTGTGTGTGGTACCACACAGGCGATCTAGCGAATCGGTTAAATTGAAACGGCAAACACATTACTCTCATCTTTTAATGATAGGTGTTGAAAGTGAACAACGCGTTGCCTTAATAAAATTGCATCGCTATTAATACGTTCCGCAAAGTCTCGTGTGTCATAAATCCATCAATTTAACGATATTTCTCAATAACCACAATCGATTTACATAGTAATTGTGAGAAACTCGTTCAATGTATGTACGTGCAACGCTCTCTCGACATTTTAGTAGACTGTAACAGGGAGGATAAGAATCTGAAAATCCAACTACACGTGATAGGTATAGCCTCTATAAAACCTCGAGTCATCTCCAAAGTCCTAAACGCACCGGTAGTTTATCACACCTTCATGTACATAAAATGGACGTTTTGGGGAGTTCTTACTCGGACTAATACGAACGATCATTTCAATCCTAATGGAGGTTAATTCCCTAAACATTTTGCAGTACCTAGCCAGTAGAGCCAATCAAACAACAGTGAGGTTACTTATCTCTGCAGAGCAGAAGAGACTTTTAATTTTAATTGATAGCAGTCTCTGGAGAGTTTTTTTAGGGTTGTCAAGCAGATTATTTTTTCGATTATGTGTCAATAGTGTTGTGTTGACCTTCCAGATTGATTTCGCGACTATCAATTGCTCCGGACTTGGTGACGGTTCAAGATGGTAGTCTTTTACGTGGTCACAACATTTTTGTAACCGTAACAGAATTATTTTTGCTGGTGTTTCGCGAACTAAATGTGGGAGAAGAAATTTTTTTGTAGTTTTTGAGTGTTATAGATGGACACCCTGCAAAAGAAACTCGGAATTTTGCGAGCTAGTCTTACCAGATTTACAAATGATTTAGAAAACTAGTTGAACGCAGTCGAGGTAGACCTCCAAACGGTAAACGTAGTTTGGGAGATATTGGAACAGAAAGAGGAAGAATTGGAGATATCTGAAATGAGTTATACAATCTTCTCCTGCAGGATATTGCAGTTACAGAATAGAATCTGCTGTTAGAAGTTAGAAGAAAAAGAGCTGTGTTCGGTTGTGGGTAGCAGTCAGGCATGTAAGCGAAAATTTAAACTTTCTAGACCCGAATGGAAGCAATTTAGTGAAGGCATTCAAAAACTGTTCATGTCTGCCAGAAGGTTTGCTTCGAGTTTGGCGAAAATCGTCGGAATTTA